CCACGCCAGGCTTCCCGGCCCCCCAGGTAGGTCACACATGGTGACAGGGAATCCAGTGTTCCCATGCCTCTTAACTTCCTTAAGTCTTTTTATGCATTTGAAAAACTGAATTTTTAATGGCTACAATAGGCTGTTATGCCGAGTGAGAAAAATGATTTGTGTAAAGAAGCTACCAGAAGTTTGGAAGTTAGTAAGGGCTGGCTGTAATAAAGATGTCACAGATACTATCTAAGTGCTTCCTAGATTCTAATCTCCACTAACCTGTGAAAACTGCCCGGTGTCTCTAGCTTGGTTTTCTCACCTCTAAGTGTAGGGACCAAGGAAACCTATGGGGAAGGTGTGAATCAACACAGAAAACAATCAGAAAGCAATTAAGTGCTAAATTGTATGGTAATGGCAGGATGTCCAAGAAATGAACTGTTGCTTCTCTAGCTTGAGAAATGTGTGGCCCCAGCGGGAAAACATGCCTTTCAATCCCCTTTGCTCTAAGCATTCAAAGTCCTTAAATGTGTAATTGGTCTTTTATTGAATAATTGAGCTGTTTTTTTTTTTACATACCCATTTAAGCATATAGGTGTGTCATCCTATGCCTTAGCTTTTACATAACTATAAAGTGAAACAACTCTGCAAATCCAATAGAGACAAAAAAGGAGACCTCAACAGTACCTTGACGGCAAAGAGCAATGGCTGACTGTGTAGGTGCTACAAGGCTGCTCACGGTACAGTAAACAATATTAACCAGGCACAGGTCCTTGGGTTTTAACTCTGAGTAACTACACCAGAGGCTGTTACCCCTTTGCTCCCCATCTTTCCTCTTTAATGAAGTACAGTAGATTGTCAGACATCACCTGACTCATGCAGCCACATCTACTCTTCCCTCGCTAGCTATAAACAATAAAAAGAGTGCTAAGAGAAAGCTAAGCAATGATTACTTGTTCATAAAGTCATCTAGAAGGCAGAGGGTGTGTGTGCGTGCGTGTGTTTCTGTGTTTAATTGCTGAAAATAATATCAAGAACTTAATGTGGGTTTAGCAAACTCCTTAAAGGGAGGAGGGACGTTCTAAATGTCAGTTAAGAAACACTATAATAAGTAGTTCTTGCCACAGGTTTTCTTGGCCTTATACTGATCTTCTAAATCCTCAGGCTAACCCTGTAAAGCAAGCAGTACTCTAACATCTGCAGAAATTAAGGCTAGAGGAGAGCATCCAAGAGACAGAATCCTATCTTGAACCATCTATATCCAATATATGAGCCCCACTGTCCCTTCAAAACAAGGTCCAAAGAGCCTTGGTAAAAGATGGCCAAAAGTCCATAGGAATCCAAGTGAAACCAAGGAAGAAGGTGTGAGAGACTGGAAGAAAAGAAGACAGAGAAGAGAAAAAAAAAAAAAAGGTCATGGAAAATCAAAGTTGGAGACAGGAAAAATGGAGCCCCATCCCTCAGAAATGGAACTGCAGGGAGAAACACCACTTCCAAAGAGAAGACCTAACTGAAACATGGCTAACTTGTTCTGAGTGGGGATGACAGCCCCTTGCCAGAGCAAGCTACAGGGACAGAAACTGAACTCACATTCCAGGCAAATGTTCATAGCGTATGTGAATTATTTCAAAGGTGGACAAGTCTTTTCTAATGCAAGAGAGACTGTGGACAAAGCACTCCATGGAAAAGACAAATGATTCTGAACGAAAAGAGATGACTTACTAGTTTCAGGCCACAGGAAGAGGAATTATGATGGGCAAGAAGGTAAGGCAGCCTTCTGATGTCAACATGAGGACACATTTATGCAACACGCACCTGAAGACCCGCAATGTACCACATAGTGGCCTGGGTTCAGCCATGAACACGCTTGCCCTCATGGAGGTAATGATTTAGCTGTGTAGACAGACAAGGAACACATAAACATAAATGGTTTGAGCTTAGGTCATGATAAGTGCTCTAAAACTAGAAAACAAATAAGCCAGGATATAAGAAAGAATGATGGGAGTGGGGGGTGGGTGTTTGAAATCTTTCCACTGGGCAAGCAACAGAAGATTAGCTAAAGGCTAAGAGGAGACAACAGAAAATTCTAGAAAAGCAACTGTTTACTGATCAAGACCTACTGAGCTTGGGGCTCTGTGCTTACAGGAGAGAACAAAAGCATGAAGGCGTTTCAAGGAGGTGAAAGCAAGATTGTTAGTGTAGATACCAAAAGAATCTAGGGAAGGCAGAAGCAGCAGCCGGAACGACTGTCACCCAACGAAAGGCAAGCTCAAGATGAGGGGCCTGACCCTTAACCTGCATTGTTGAGAAGTCGCCACAACGCTGGACGGCTTCTGGGGCAGTACACTAGGTAAGTAACCGACATGTCTGTGGCTGGGAAGTAGGCTGAGGAAATGAGGTGCCCGCCTCACCCCATACTGGCAGCATCTGTATTTAAGTCAACAGCCTCTCCGCAAGGCTGGGACCAGCTCATAAGAATCATAGCTTCTTTAATCTCTATTTTCCTAATAACTAGGAAGTAATGGTACCTCAGTAAATGTTTGACAAGGCCGAGTTTAAACCACATGGCCCAAAAAGGAGGGTCTAAACAGCTAATGGTCTGATGGACGTGAGAAGCAGAGTGGGCCAGATGCATCCTACGTGTTCACTGTGACTGCAGCTGTCTAACACGTCAATAAATGGAGGAGGCCGGAGACTGCATCCACCTAACAAGGTGCAGAGCCCTGAGAAAAATCGCTGCAGTTCTGAGTCTCAATTTGTAAATGAAAATGTTGGAGCAAATGAGAGGTTGCGGGCCGTTCGGTGGAGAGTAGGTGCCTATCATTATCCCAAAGCCTGTTGCTCAGGTAGAGGGCGCGGGCCTCCCTCTTGGCCTGTGCTCCCAAATTACAGGCAATAAAACATACAGCTGGAATGGCCACGACCGCACTATGAACCTTTGAAGCTTTCCATCAAAAGTGGTGATATGGTGGTGAGGAGACAAGGAGCTCGGAGTTGGAGGCCCGGGGCACCAGTGGGCAACAGTGATGAGTTACACTGATCTCAAACACCAACAAGGGCCGGCCCAAGAAAAGACCGAAAGAAAGAAACAGGCTTTCAAAGCAGTCACTCCTGTCTGGCATGTACAAACCCAACAGTCTGGGTGAAATAAGACAGAGAGGAATCCAGGCTACAAGACCCTGATTTAAGGCTCTTGGAGCAATGTTTACCAATAAGGCAGGCCATCCTTTGGCTTTGCAACGTTTATTTACTGTATTTTCAAAAAGGCCACCAGGCCTTATTTTGAGCTTCTGAGTTGTCATTTGCCATCTGTAGAAATAACTGACACTTCCAAAACTCTCAATCTCCTATGCCAAGCAAAACTCTCCAGCATTACAGAAAATCTAACAAAGCTGCAGAAGGGACTGAAAAGCCAATCCAACCCGAAGAAAGCTTCCAATCCCACAACAAGACACAAATACTATGAAAAGCACTGGGAGGTTAACAGTCAAGAGCTTTTACAAATACTACGAAAAGCACTGGGAAGTTTACAGTCAAGAGCTTTTTACTAAGTCTTTTAATAACTTCACTTCAAATACCTCGAAAAGGGTTAAGTAACATTTGCTACATTTCAACAATTACACAGCTTACCACTTAAGTAAAACAGAGTGAAGCTAAAAACCAGATTATGCCTGCAAAGTAATACATGCCTGAGGGAACTGGATGGTTTTTCTATTGAATTAAATGAAAGGGTGGTGTGGGGGTGCTCTGCAAAGATCCTAGTGAGGGTCATCTCTGTGATTCCTCTCAGAAGAGGCCATGGGAACCAAGGAAAGTTAATTCAAGATGAACATCACTTGAGATGTTGAAAAAAAAAAAAAAAAAAAACACAGTTCTGATTTTCTAAACTGTCAGCCCTGGAGATCGTTATCAGTCCGTGTTCCAACAAACCAGACATCTGAGCAGAGTTTCTTTGAAACTGACAGGGCATTAGCGTTACCAAAGGACAAACAAGGTATCTGCATTCCAACGCTCAGGCCTTTAGGCTCTCTCTCCCCGCCTCCCAGCAGTCTTCCATTTCCTGCACCTTCATATGGCCACAGGCTTACTTCCTACACACACCTGGGTTAGGGACGCTTCCTCTTCAACAGTTAAAGCTCAAGTCCTGAAGCAAATTCAAGAGTTAAAAGTTCAGAGTCTAACCGCGTCCGGACCCTCGGAAGAGCACAATCAGTGTCTGTCACTGTCCAAGTTCGGTCCGGCAGATGATTAATTTCTGTAAACAACTCTGAATAGGTACGGGCATCAGTCACAGGACGGACTCAAGCGAGCTTTGTAGGCAGCAGCGAGGCTGACTCGCAGAGGGAGCCACTACGGACGTTCATCGCAGTTCCAACCACGCAACAGGTCCACGCACGCAGTGCCCCAGCGGCGGGAACCTGGGCACCTGCACCAGCTCTCCTCCTGACCAGCACTCCAATGCCGCCACGGGGCGACTGGAGCCGACACAGCGCCATCTCCACAGGGCACAGCCCACCGAGATAAGGCCAGGAGCACATTCCTTACAGATACCAAGATACAGAGGCTTACTTTCGCGCTGCCAGGTCCCAATGCCCTCCGGGACCTGTTTCAGCCTTAAGAGAGGCGGCGCTCAGGGCCACCAGCAGCCGATCGGCCCCCTGGGGCGTACTGGGGCGCGCGGTGGCCCTCAGCTGGGAACAGTGTAGGCTACCTGGCTTCTCACCCAACCGGCGTTAGCTCCCAGACGTGGATCTAAGCCACTCAGTGAACCAGAACGTCTCTCCCTTCGCCAAGTAACTAACTTGTTAAATTCCAAGTCTTCGGGTATGAATGAAGTTTTTTAAAAATATATATTATTAATAATGATAACTTTCATCGGAGGATGGGGCCGGGGGGAGCAAGGAGGAACAGGGCGGCTGGGGGTGGCCGCGGTGGCCCGCAGCCCGGGGTCCCCCGGAGCGGAGCAGCCTGCGGAGGGGCGCGCGGGCGCCGCCGCCGCGCCAGGTGAGCCGGGCACTTACCTCGGGGAGCTCCCGGAGCTGGTTGGCGTCCAGGAGCAGCTCCTCCAGGCTGCGGGCATAGCGGTAGATCTCCTCGGGGACACAGACCAACGAGCAGTGGCGCTTGTCGATGGCCTCCACATGACGGTTGCACCGCCACAGGGGGATGCAGTGGAACATCGCCGCCCCCGCCGCCGCCGGAGCCGCGTCCCGAGCCGCGGAGCCCGGGGCTGGGAGCCCGCTCCGCCCGGCCGCCCCGCCGCTCCCCGCCCGCGGCCCGCTCCGCGCTCGTTGCTGGCCCCAGGCTCGCTCGCGCCTCGCAAAGGCTGCACCGACCCGAACGCCCCGAGGAAGCCGCGGGAACCCTCGCCGCGTTCCGCGCCTCCGCCACCGCCACAGCGTCCCCTCCCACCTCCCCTCTCCGCCGGGCTCCGCTTCCTACTCGCGGCGGCCGCGCACTGGGCATGCGCGCACGGCCGCGCGCGGAGGGCGTGTCCCTGCCGGGGATGCTCCGCTCCGGGTTTTCCTGGAGACCTGGCTCCCGGGAGGGTCGGGGAAGATGGGGCTTCTGAGGTCCCCTCCCCCGCGGGGATTAACCCAGCCTGGGACTCTGGGGTGCGCCGCGCCCCAGAAGGGAACTGAGGAGGACCCGGACCGCAGGCCAGGGCGAGCAGAACAACTTCGGAGTTTTAGTCTTACTCACCGTGCCTCCTCTTCTCCTTGCTCCCCTTCCCCAAAACAACTTTCTCTTCCGGGGTCAGGAAGTACCGCCCCGCCGCGAACCTAGAGCGCGGGGTAGCCGGGGGCCGGTTCTGGCTTTCCCACACACGCAGCCCTCGCTCCCCGTCTGCCCTGCGTCCCCACACACTCTGTGACCTGGGCTCTGTGACCTGAGAGCATCTTCAGTTAGCAGGACTTATCTGAGATGTAAGCGTCACCCCCTAACCGGTGCCGTCGAAAGTATGAGTGTCAGGATCTCCCAAATCTTCTAAAAGATGCTCCCAGAAGAAAGGAGTTGGCAAAGGTGCTTCTGGGCGGGTTCTACTATGGCCAGATGTTGTGCAGAAGTGGAGAAGGAACTGGTCCAGAAAGCCTGGCTCCTGTATTTCTTTGACAGCACCGGGCTCCTTCACAAAAGAGATGGCAACCCAAGTAGTAGTTGGGGGGAAGGGGGGGACGACACTCCCTTTGCCCTTGTCGAGTTCCCTTTGCCACAGCCAGACGCTTGAACTACCCCTTTTCTCCTTTCTTCACAGTCAATGCTCTCAGAAGAAGCAGAGTCACTCCTTCATGAACTCCTTTGATTTGGTGTAAGCCAAACACTGTAACGATGGACTGTTACAAGGCTCTCTCATGCGGAAGCCCTGTGAACCCACCACTCAAATCCGGAGTCACCAAATTTATATTATGCAGAAGACTGAAAATTGAGCATAGCGACGAAGGCAAATATGCTCTGAAACTTTATTCATTGTCTTTTCGGTGCTTCTAACAGCACAGGCCACTTTGCCCAGGTGGAGAGGGGAAGGGACACATAATCATTTCACCTCTATCAGAGGGCCTTTTTGTCTTCATTGGTGAGGGAGGAAATGGCTTTTGTTTCTACCTCAGGATTAATACTTCGACTTGATAGTTAGAGCCTAGTTCCTGCCACTCTGCCCTTCACCGTTTTGCTGACTTGATTCCTGCATTCTTGAGGAGGACTTTGAGCCTCCCCTCCTCCTTCATTCTTGCATTCCAGAAGTGTGTATAAAGCCCATTTTCCGCCACCTCCCATGGAAAGCTCTGGTTCCTGATTGAGACATTCAAGAGGATACGTCATTAACTTTTCGGGTTTTCCAACCACTTTTTTTAAAAAAATTGCAGAAACCTGGCTTCAATTTAATGTTCATTTTTAGAGATATTCACACTAGATTGCTTTAACAAGTGATAAGTGTGTTTTTATATGTCTGTTCTTTTACTTATTCCTTCCTGAATAAGGGTTCCTTATGCTTCTCTGAGCTTGTGATCATGTGTTGTCTTATTTCCAAAAAACACCGTGGCCTTCTGAAAAGCAGATCCTGAAAACTACCACAGTCCACATGACTTAACTGCCAGATTTGTGTTGAGCTAACTCTGTGTTCTAGTTAGTTTACTATTGCTGTGGTAAACACCATGCCAAAAAGCATCTTGGGGAGGAAAGCGTTTGTTTGGCTTACATTCCCAGTCCATCCTTGTAGGTGGCCAAAGCAGGAACTCAAGCAGGATGGGAAGCTGGAGACAGAAACGGAAACAAAGGTGGTGAAGAAATGCTGCCTCCTGGCTTGTTCAACTTGCTTTTTTATATAACCCACGTTAATAATCAAGAAAGTGCCTTACAGACTTGCCTACAGGTCAGTCTGATGGAGGCATTTTCTCAGCTGAGAATTGCTCCTTCTAGATGACTCCACCTTGTATAAAGTTGACAGCCGAGAGTGGGAGATGAGGGATTGTTTGGCTTGAATGTCAGGACCACAATCCACACCCTGGGATAAGTGAAGACAGGAACTCAAAGCAGGAACTGAGGCAAAGGTGATGGGAAAGTCTTGCCTATTGGCTTGCTTTCCCTGGTTTACTGATTGTGCATTCTTATATAACTCAGAACAGTTTACTCCGTAACAATAGATAATAAATGTGCACATTACTCACCAGACACATGCTAGATACCAGAAATCCAAGTAAGAACAAGATGTCCCTTACCACAGTGAGAAAGAAAAAGGCTCGACTAATGATTTGTTATTTTAATTCCTAACTTTTTGCTGAATGGTATAATCATTACATTTTTAAACTGCAAATCCAAGTGGCAGCCAGTAAGATGGAAATGACTGGGAATTCAGGAGTCCAGACATGTAAATTTTAAAATGAGAGTGAGATACTACCATCTAGCCACTGGAACAAAACAAACAAACAAAACAAAATCACTTAAAATCGAAAGTGTTAATAAAAATACAGTGTAACAGAACCTCAAGCATTGCTGACAAGAAAGTAAAATGTTGAAACCAGCATTCAAAACAATTTGAATTTTCCATGTCTGCCCTAATGCCCTAATCATCCAGCTATTCCACTTCTTAGTATTTTTACACACACACACACACACACACACACACACACACAAACTAGTTTTATTAATATTAGTCAAAATCTTGAAATAACTAAATATTCACCAAGATTAAAAACGTAGCTTACCAAAATGATGGAACAGAACTCAATGATAAAGGGAAATAAACTACTACATGTTAATAAATAAATGTATCTCAAAATATCCATAAAAAAGTTTGTACTGTATTATGTAATATAGAATTCTTAAAAAAAAAAAAAAGAAAGAAAAGAAAACTAATATAAAATGATACAACCTAAATCGGTGGCTGCATGCAGCTGGTTTGCATGAAAATGGAAGGGGGCCAGCCATAAATGGCAAATGGCTAGAGAGAAGTGGGGAAGTGATGAGACTATTTATTTGCATTGCAGTTACTTACGGGTGTGCATTTATTAAACTCACAAAATGATCTACTTAAAGCAGCAGCCTTTAACTATACGAGATGTGTATATGAATATGTTCGATTTTTAAATTAACAAATAAGCTGCTGATTAACAAATAAGATTGTTTATCTGTTAATAAATTAACAAATAAGATTGCTGAGTGGCTACAAGCACATGATACATACACAAACTTGAAGACCTGAGTTTGGCTGCCCAGCAACTATATAAAATCCAAGCTTGGCTACACATGCTTCTAACTGCCCCAGCTTGCTTTTGTCCTTGCTTTTTGGCTTGCCGGCCTAGCCAAAAGACCAACAAGATCCAGGTTCAGTAATAGATCCTGTCTCAAGGGAATACGGAAGAATAAGAGACAGGGAACCTGATATCTTCTTCTAGCATCAGACTGAAGTGCCAGGATGCACTCACAGACACACAGAGACACACCTACAAATAAAATAAAGGTAAATGTATCCTACAGGCAGTTGTAAATTAAATCCCAGGCTGGGAATTATGGTAGGTGGTTACCAAGTATCTGCCATCTGCCAGGCACTGGGTTACTTTTCTGGGAAACAAAGGGAGTGGGGCAGAGCTTGGAGTCTTCCTGGAAGAAAGGCTGTTGTCACAGGAATGATATCAAGATATAAACTATAATAGGAGAGAGGGTCATTTTTCCTAATCTAGAAAATCTATCAAGTGGCTGACCTTTTCATCTTGTAAAGGACACAGGAGTGACCCTCTGAGGATGTATATACAGATCAAAAAGCTAATCAAATCATACGCAAAGCTGGACACTGAGAAAACAGCTCAATTTGCATAAAACCCCAAGGCACCTTTAATAAAACTCTCAGACTTTAATCGTGCTTCCCCAAATTTGTATATAAAAATATTTTTCCAGAGACTAGAATACAAGACATTCAAACCACTCAGAAACCTGAGAACCTATAGAATTCAAATGAGTTGTTTAGAATTCAATCTATTTATAATCAGACGCAAGGCCACTACCTGAAGTCTCCTATTTCCAATTGGTGCTTAAATTCTTCTCTCCTCCCTTGGCTTTTATGGACATGACATTTATGTGTGTGTGCATGCGATCATGCAAACACGCTTACATGTGTCCACACTTGAGCTTGACAAATCAGGTTATCAGGCTTGGTGCCTTTACCCGTTAAGCCATTACCCTGGCCCTTTCCCTTGTTTTTCCATCCAAATGTTTATCACATTTACACTCAAGATAGTCCAGAGATTGTTGTTCTTCTGTTTCCTGTTGTTTATTTTCTGTTGTACTTACATCTTCTGTTTATATTTTATTTTCTGTTGATGCCATCTGACTCCCGTCCTTCCTTCCCTTGTAGAACTCAGTTTCCTCTGAATGGAAACATTCCCTCCAGGTGGACAAAGAGGCAGTAAGCAAACATCCTGCTGTCTGGAAAGAGAAACGTTGAAACCTTCTTGAAGCTCCCTGAACAACTGTTCAGAAGCGGGAGACTACCGCTGGAGAGGAAGGCGTGCCAGCCAAGCTCAGAGGTGGGCTTGTAAGTTGTACAGAGCTCCAGGGTTACAGTTTTCTGAGGTGTCACCAGGCCCGAGGTGGGCTTTTGGAGGAAGTAGCTGCTTTGAAGTCATCCCTGCTCCTGTAAGGAACCTCCCACCCGCACTCCTCTTAGTAACCCCAGTAAAAAACTCACTGGCTCACCAAGTGGAGCTTGGGTGCCGTGGTTACTGGGTCTGTTGTGGGTTCCCTTTCCGGGGGGAATAGACCTGTGTGTTGTTTCAGCCCGAGGACACTTTCCTTTCCTGCTCTTGAGTCTATTTTCAGGTTGCATTTTATGACATCTGCTGGTGATAGCAGTTGTCCTAGTGAACAGAGCGTGTGCGTCTTTACGCTTTCACAGTCTGGCCGAACCAATATTGGGGCCTTATAATGGGGTGCCTC